GAACCATTGAATTGATCCTTAACTTTGCGAAGGTAAACCTTGGTAGTTTGGCAGGCCAAAATAGCACCGGTTGTGCTATCAATGATGGGGCCCTTAATGACCATGAGACACGATTTGATGTCCCACTTATCTTTCCAAATGTCATACTTATACTTTTTAAAGTATCAATAATTCTTATCTCCTTACGTACCTTTAGGAGGATCTTTATGGAGAGCATAATCAACATATAGTAGAGTACTAGAGTTAGTGTTATCTCAATCTTTTCCTTCCGTGAAGCATATTTGCTTCCATTAAGTAGCTCGATGTTGTTAATTATACTGGCAGTTTGAGAGGCATTATAAGCTACATAAAAAAGAAGTTATTTAGTACTCCCTCCATTCTAAATTATAAGTCACTTAGACTTTTTTTTGTATATCTATTTTACTATGTATCTAGATATAATATAGGTCTAGATACATAGCAAGATGTATGTACCAAAAAAGTTAAAGCGACTTATAATTTAGGACGGAGGGAATATGCATCATTGTAATTTTTTCATTGATCAAAAATCAACATCAGCTTTGCCTAGAAAAGAATAGGAACAATAATTTTTTTGTTTGTGAACAGGTATTCATTAATCAGCTTTGGCCAAAATAATAAATACAAGCCATTAAATTTCGTGTATAAATTTCTTTTATTAATCTAGTCCATATAGGCTTTGGTCAAGCCTCTAGTCCATCTGGTTAGAGCTCCTCAGCGGTACTCCATAGGTCCTGGGGTTCAACTCCCCGTGGGAGCGAATTTCGGGTTGTGGTTAAAAAAACCCCCTCGTCTGTACCATGGCCAAAGCATAGGTCAAAAGGCCGGCCCGGTTGTCACAGGGCAACGGTGCCCCTGTGTCAGGGTGGGGCAAGGGTTTGGGGGTTTTCTCGGCCTGTGTGAGAATGTCTTCTTCTATCACAACAATGCCCGGGGTGGTCTTACCCCTACAGGTTGAGTTTTTTTTGTAAATGAACAAGACCAATAAAAATTTTGTGGTCCAATATTCATCAATTAGCTTTAGCCGAATGACAAATATAAGGCACACTTTAATAAGAGAATTTATGATAAACTTCATTAGCAGCGGCAGCAGAATTATTATATAAGTCTAAAACATATAAAAGTGGCTTAAATAATAACTCAAACGTAAGCTAGCAGTTAATATGAAGAAGTCCATCCATGGGTTCTAGACCAGTAAAAATTAGGACTTCAATCAAGTCATAGTAAAAAGTTGTACTTAGAAAAAACAATCATTTTAGCCCACAACTTTGCAGCCCAACATATTTACATATAATAAAGGGGAAATTCTTAATTATTTTTTCGCTAGCCCGAAAGAAAACTCCTGAGACAGGCCAACTTCATTGGGCCCAAAAAAACCTCGTGAGCCCGTTTAAGCGCCATGCCCACCCTCCTGGGCCTAAAGTCCCCCAACCTGGGCCTAGGTGAGAAAGAGTAGGCCCCGTGCCAGACTGCTCGGCCCAAGCCGTTGCCGAGAACTGCACGCACAGCTGATGGACGATTCGACGGCCGAAGAGGCTCCTGCACAGCACAGATCAGAACTTTGTTTGGCCGCTGATCAAGATTTGATTTATTTGATTCACTTCTCCTATATTTCAGGTGTCTGAATTTTAAGATAATTTCAGGCAACTCTCTTTGTACTATCAATTAGTACAAGTAAATTATCACTTTTGTGATTTGTTATTTGTCTTTGTGCCATATATCAAATGTTTATCCTTGTCTAACTATAAAAATAATTGTTATATTATCTTTGTGCCAACACATATCAAATTTGGTCAGGTTTATGATTTTGTATAATGGGTTTTTTTATTCTCGGAATAAAAAATTGTAGCTTGTGTCTACAGAAATTACAACGAATTAAAACTGTAATTTTAGTATAAAATATATACAGTCACCGTCGTCCGAAAGAAAACTAAAATTCAGACATCTAAAATTTGGCAAATCCCTATTTGATTTTATGTGAAGACGGGGAAGTACCAAACATCTCACAAGCGTTGGACGACTTTGTGCCCTGTTGTGGGCATGAGCACTGAGCACATATATGGAGTAGTAAGTACGTACCTGTATTAGTAAGTATTGATGGTGATGATACATACTTCCATCCTTTTCATGGCGCGTGAAGGAAGGAAAGCACAAGCACGGGTACATGTGCCAGCTGCTGCATCATCAACAACATACACTATACAGCTAGCTAGCGAGGAGTATATACATACATCCTGGTTCCTGGAAGTGAAATGATTCGGCCCGCTTTAGATTCTGCACGCAGGCCGTCCGGCGGGTTACACCGGCCGGGTAATAACAGCCGGCTGGCTTTTACCCTGCAGGCTGCAGGGTTTGTAGTACGAGCACGTTCTCTGCCAGTTGATGTCATTCGCCCCCGTTGTATGTCCGCTAGCTACTATAGACGATTCTATCCGGTTCCATGGACTTATTAGTCGTAATTTTTTCAGCAAATAAATAATATTTTTTATCACAACAAATTAGCCTAAAAGTATTTTTAACCATGTTTTATCAGCCAAGTGAACAGGACACTAGCCACACGCGCGGCGGTACAAATGGCGACGCTGCTCTCTCTCACGCCACGCGCAAATTTTTTGCCAGCTAATAGTAAAGCCAATAAATAGCTGAATAAAAACGATTATTCTATATGGCCCTCGAGCATTATTTATGCTTCGCCTCACTCGATTTGTCAGCCGTCCGATGCGCGTCGTAGAGGCCATCCAACTGTACACGTCTGCATCTCCAGAAGCCTCTCCACACCGCGTACTGTCGGTCTTATCCTTCCCATCGTTATCCACCTCTATCCCTTTCCCTTCCACGGCAGCTCCATCGCTCTCCTCCATGACCCACGCGCGCCTGCTCACCTACGAGATGGGCCCCGCGCCTTCTTCCTCTGCTCCATGCCCATCTGCTCCGGCAACTTCTGCTCGGCTGCAGGACGGTGCGACGGCCGGCGGGCGTGCCTTCTTTCTCTGCTCCCCGCCCGCCTCCTCCCCCTGCAGCTCTGTCCAGCACTTCTCCGCTGCGGTGGATTGCTAGTTTATATAGTACATGTGAGCTATGTTGACACTTACATGTTACTATTACTAGTTTTATATTGTAGGACACAATGTAATTTGTTCAGACTGTAAGTGTAATTTTTTGATGCACCCGTGTAAATTGGTACTGCATTATATAGATAGCTGATTTGCGCTATCTGGTATGTTATCTGATTTTTTTTATTTTTTTGTGTATTTGTATGTCATTTTTTGTCTCTATTTGGATTTATTCCAATTTGCTTTTCGTAGAAATAATCTGGATATTTTTCTGCCATTTTTGTTTGCTATTTTTATGTTTTATCTGTTTTTCCATTTGAATTTCTTCCAATTTGCCTTTCATAGAAATAATCTGTTAATTTGTTTTATATCTGCTCCCTTAGATCTGGATCTTGTGGTTTGGAAATCGAGTGTTCCATATCCAAGAAACACTCAATTCTGGTCTGTTTTGTAAATCGAGTGTTTTATAGGTTTTTCACAATGTGGTGTCAGGAGTGTGTAAAACACTCGAGTTTAAAGTAAACAAGCTAGTGCAAATTAGCCATCCAAATAGGCACCTAATAAATAGCTAAACTCTTTCCAAAAAAAAATCAACCCTTCTCCGCAAGCGGTGGTCGAGTCGGCGAGCAACGCCTGGTCGGAGGCGAGTAGGCGCGACCAGATTAGCGTTGTAGTTGGTGTCGAAGGCGGTGGGCGTGACTGGGGTCCATGGACATTGCCGGGTCGCCGCTGCTCCGCTAAGCGTGCAGGCACTGCTGCACGTTGCGGGTCAAGGGTGAGGCCCGCTGGAGCAGACAGGTCCATCGACCGCACGTCGGCCGGGGGTGGCTCCGCCGCGGGCAGGGCGATCTGCTCGAGCTCACCCTTGGCAAGGACCACCATGGCCGAGGAGTGAATGAAGCAGAGGCAAGCATAGGGAAGGGAAGGTCGTCTCGTCTGTGCACAGAGCGTGAGAACGAGAGCAAGAGTGTCGCTCTCCTCTGGATCCCCCGTAGGCAAGCTCCGAGATGTGGGGCGGGATCTGGAGGCAGCGGGTGAATCGATGTGGTGGCACGGGTGAGATGTGGCAGTGGGTGGAGGTGTTGGCAGCGGGTTGGATGGAGGCGGACGAAGCTGTGGGCATAGGTGGAGCGGACGAGGAGGAAGACCGCACGGGCGGACATGGTCTTTTTTTGCGCTTTTAGCCTAAAATAGCTAGGGTTTCTCAGCTAGTTGGTTAGTGAGTAGTTGGTGGCTTCGCTAAAAACTAGCTTACGTAACTCTTTTTTTAGATGGGCTAATTGTTAGCTGACGAATGATTAGCTGTGGTATCGAAACAGGCCTTAAATTAGACCTAGTATACCATATAGCTTGGGTCATGATTTATAGTAAGGGATTTGCTATACCCCTGGTAGAACTAAGGGCTGCTAGCTTTCCTTAGTGAAGAACTAGCCCATCGCATGGTGAGACACTAAGCTAATCGGAGACAGATGGAACTAAGAAAATAAAAATTTTGATCCTCGCAATAGATGTGAGAGAAAGCGACGGCCACCGGCGTAAAGAATGGGCATCGAACACGCCCAATACCTCGAATCCTCGATGGATTGTACACGTTCTAAAGGGAAACCACAAAAATGGTTTTTATTCACAACTGCAATGGGCATGTCCCCCATGTTTATTTGGCTGATAAGTCAGGCTAAAAAGTACTATTTACTACGCAACTTCACTCCACTCCACACATGAATCGGGCGCAAAAAAAAAAAGCAACGTTGCATGTGTCCGTCGCACACGATAAGAGGAGCTCGTGACACCCACACGACTGAACAGCACAAAGCAGCTAACGCTGCTACAGTGTACACATGGTAAATAACGCGCGGTGACCGGTGAGCAGTAAGAAACAAATTGCCACGTCGCCCGCGCAGGAGCGCGTGCTTCGTGTCAGCAACTCGATCAGTACAACGGGCAGGTGAAGCGGGGTGTAGGCACGGCGTATAGCCGTTGGGCGCTTGGCGCCGACAGCCCAAAGGCATCACCGACGTCGAGGTCCGACGGCTTCGTGCCGTCGAGCAGCTCCCAGTGGAAACCGTGCGCGAGCTGCGCGACGGCGAACTCCAGCGCGTGCAGGCCCAGCGCCATCCCGGGGCACGACCGCCGGCCGGAGCCGAAGGGCAGGAACTCGAAGCAGCTGCCGTTGAGGTCGAGCCCGGAGGCGTCGCCATCCTGCGCGGCGAAGAACCGTGACGGGCGGAACACGTCGGGGTCCTTCCAGGTGCCGCGGTCGCGGCCGATGGCTCAGACGTTGACCGTCACCTGGGATCCCCTAGGCACGGAGTAGCCGCCTACGACTTAGTCCTTGGCGGCCGCGTGGAGGAGCAGCGGGATCGGCGGGTGCATGCGGAGTGTCTCCTTGGCGACGCACGTGAGGAAGGGGAGCTCGCTGGCGCTGAGGTCCGACTCCGTCACGTTCCGGTCCACGCCCACCACGTCGGCGAGCTCCTGCTGCAGACGCCGTAGGTCGTCGGGGTTCCGCAGCAGCTCTTTCATCGCCCACTCGATGGACGACGCCACCGTCTCCGTCCCACCAAACATGAGATCCTGCGTGCATGCGACGTCGTACGATCCATGCATGCATACATGACACATGAGCACGTGAAGTTTATTTCGAGGAGAAGGGTCGGAGATGGATGCATACGCGCACGTACCAGGATGACTGCCTTGATGTTGCGGCGGGTGAGGCAGAGGGAGCCATGCCGGTCATCGACGGCGTCACCAGCGGTGGGCTTGGTCTCGTGGAGACAGGCGAGCATTTCGTCGACAATGTCGGCCTCGGTGTCCGTGGAACTCCTGCCCCTCCGTATGTGGTTGCCGATGATCTTGTCGATGAACCTGTCAAACCCCTTGCGCGTCTCGCGGAGGCGGCGGCGGCTTGGGTCGATCCAGGCGAGCCACGGCATGAAGTCACCGATGTTGAACGCAATAATGTTCCGGGAGAACTCTTCGAGGACGCCGATGTACTCGCCCACGCTAATGTTCACGCGGGTGCCAAAGGCGGTGCGGAAGATGACGTTCGTGCTCAGGCTGAGGACCAGCTCGCCCAGGTTGACCGCCTCGCCGCTGCGCCGCGCGACGGCGCGCACGAGCGCCGCGGACTCGTCGCGCACGGCGAGCCACGTCTCGGCGCGGCGCTGGCTGAAGAGCTTCGTGACCGAGAGCTTGCGCCCCTGGCGCCAGAAGGGCCTGTACTGCGCGAACGCCATGTCGGCGTGGCCGTCGGTGAGGTACGCGATCGCGGTGGTGGCCGGCCGGTTCGCCAAGGCGGCGTCCTGCGCCTGCAGCACCTCGAGCGCGTACTCCGCTGTGGACACCACGAACACGTGCCGCCGGCCGACGCTGAGGTGCAGCAGCCCGCCGTACCTCTCAGCGAGCACCGCCAGGCCTCGGTGTGTCAGCTGACTCATCAACATCATGTTGCCGATGATTGGGAGAGGCTTGGGGCCAGGCGGCAGCGGGAGCTTGCTCCTTTGCCGCAGCTGCAAGAGCACGACTACTAGCGAAGCTAGGAACACCCAGCTCACCAGATCATTTGGCCACTCCATGCTGATCATGGCCATGCCAGACATAGGTGTGTGAGTTTTGGCTAACTAGGCTGCGTTGATATAGAGTTTGGTATAAGGAGCAGATTCAGGATAGAGAACCATTGGCCCTGATCGATCGGCTGCAGTCATGGACTCACGGTGGTACAGCTGCAGTTGAATCTAAACTGTTTAGCACTGCATGGCAGCAGCAGGGTAGTACTGCCTTTGGCTCTTGCCTGATGACTGTGATCCCACGAGGGAAACGTGGTGCTGTGGTCTGATCTCAGCCTTATGATTAGAGTACGTCTACTACACAACCATGTGTTTTATGCAGTTTCAATATATAAATTTTTTGCACCATAGGATTAAGATCCAACAGCCTCTACCCTTCTTCTACCTCCAGCCTGCATAGATCACAGATCACAGATCACAATTTTTTTTTCTATAGAAGGACAAATCACAGATCCGCCGCCGCCGCCGCCACCGCCACTGCCATGGCCGGCGCGGTGGCTGGACGAGCACCAGCACCACATGAACAACCTCCGGGTGGCCCTGAGCGCGCAGATCGGCGACGACGATCTGGGCGTGCTGGTGGACGGCGTGATGCTACACTACGACAAGATGTTCCGGCTTAAGGGCGTGGCCACCAGGACGGACATGTTCCACGTGCTGTTGGGCATGTGGATGAGCGGGTTCTGGTCGTCGGAGCTGCTCAAGGTGGTGGCGCGGCAGGTGGAGAAAGAGGGAGGGAGAGAGACAAAAAAAAATCCATATGTTTTTTTATTGTTAAAACACATGTGTGTTGTATAGCATTTCTGTATGATTATTGGTCTTATTTTTTTCTTAGCCACCCTCAATAGAATGAGATACTTTTTTTTAAATAATGGAACAAGATTCCAGCCCTCTACCATCCGGAAATGATACACAGCTGAATAGAATGAGATACTTATTAGGTCTAGGCCAACTTTTCCAATGATATTAACTTTAGTGCATAGATCATAATACGAATTGTTGGTGTTTTGTACACCGGACGAGTAAATTTATACGATTGTCGCGCTACTCTAGGAAGACGATGATAGCATAAAAAAGACACGAGGATTTATACTGGTTTAAGCTGGAGCCCTACGTCCAGTCTCAGAGATGATCGAGTGCGTATTCCTCGCTTGAATGCTCTGAAGTTCTTACAATGGGGGGGTGCAAGAATGGTGGAAGAGGTAGGAGAGCTAGAGTTAGGAGATGGGCTGCCCGAAGGAAAGCTTCAGGAGCCCTTCTACGGTGTAAGAATGAGTGAATGAGTTCCGATCCCCCAAGATGGGTGCCCTGGCTGCCCTTATATAGAGTTCGGGGCCAGTGCGTGTACAAAGAAGAAGGTTGTCCTGACCGAAGGGTCATGAACCTGAGGGAGGACCTACCTAACTTGGCTTGCAAGCTACGCCGTCTTGTGGTGCACGTCTAGGCGTGATTGTCGTCATGGTCCTGTGGCCACGTCGCGGCATGGTGTGGCGTGGTGTTACTGTGTCGCCTGTGGCGGCACTATAGGCACGATGGTGGTTCGCCAGCCGTCCTGTGCGACGTGGTCTCTGCCGTAGTCTTTATCATCGCCTCCTGGTTTCTTGGGCGTCGTACAGGAGTTGGTAGCCGCCCCCTAGTTGTCGATCACCCGGTTGGCTTGTGGAGCTGATGGCCACGATCCCGAGCGTTGGGGTCATGGCTCCCGCCAGTCAGGATGGCCTCTAAGTCAAAGCCCTCATCGTGGATCCCATCCTATAGTGGGTGGAATCGTACATGCGTCTTGTCGGGTCGTTTCTAGACGGTGGATCACCGTACGGACAACCACCGCCGTGCGGTGTTGTCTTGTCCGTGCTGCGTGGCGTAGGGATGGTGTCTGACCGTACCGAGGTGACCGCTGTCCCCTCGGTCCTTGTGAGGTTAGTGTGGCGTGCCTACTCTTGTCAGAGCGGGCACGTTTGGCTGGGCTTGACCTCTCCCTGTTCCTCCCAGGGGTCGGGATGGCAGAGAGGTCATGAGTCTCTTATGCATCGTGCGACTAAGGCAGAAGGAGGGGTTGTAACACCTCTGGTGTTTTAATCTAGCATTAAAACTTGACATGTCATCATATGCATTGCAAAGCATTCATAAAGTAGAAAAATTTGAATGCATTCACTAAATAAGCTTTATTTCATAAGTTGTTATTTTATGTGATGTAATGTGATCCAAAACTCTAAATGAAAATCATGACCACAGGGATCAAATTTCATGTGATCATGTGAGACCATGTGTCATTTGACTCAAATAACCCTAATGGGCCATATAATTGGTCAAAAACCATAATTAAGTAAAAAGGTAAAAAAATCAAATTGAATTCAAATTCCAATTATAAAAGTCAATTTTGCCCCTTTTGTCTATTTCAAAATCCATTTGGAATTTGGGGGTGTGACAAAAAACAAAGTTGAAGCTTATTTTATAAGGATCAACTTTGGTATTCAAAGTTCTTAAAGTTTACATATAAAATTTGGAGTAATTTTGAAATGATTCAAATGCTCAAATGCACCCCAAATTCAAATTTTAAAATAGAGGCAGAATTTGAAAATGTTCATTAAAGCAAAGTTGTAGAGCTTGAAAAGTTGAGCAACTTTCATTTTTGGAGATTTTCAACTTCTTTAGAAAAATTGAGAGTAATTTGTAAAATAAACTCAGTGGCAATTCTGTAAATAATTCAAAAATCAAAATCGCTACCATCACTTTTGTCACGCGCCACGCAGCTTGCTTGTTGTTGACCTTCTTCGCTTCGCTTTCTCGATGCGGTGTGACACAGCCGGCTCGTGTGGCGAGTTCGTTTCGTGAGTTGTCGACGCCGACGTCTCCTTCCGTCTATAAATAGGAGCAACCGCCGCATCGTCCTTCCTTTACTCTCTCGCTTCTGTTCGCCATCGCCGCCTCCTCCGCTTCGCCAGTAGCCCCGTCGTCGAACCGCGTCCGTTGTGCCTAGCTACACCAGTGTGATCGCCTCAACCTTGCGCTCCTCTTCGGCTTGCTTGCATCGCTTGGGTTGGCCGGAATCGCCCAGCGTAGCGCGTTCTTCCCCGTGACCGGTCGGAGCTCCGCCACGACCGACCTCACCGTGGCCAGGCCGCTCCAGTACGTCTCTGCCTTCATCAAGCACACCGTCGTGTTCGTGGTGAGCTCCTGAGCATGATGTTCTCTCCGTTTTACTCTCTACCGCACTGTAGTCGGCGTTGTGCCGTGCGCCGCCGTGCCTGCGCCACCATGGCCGCCATGGCCGGCGTGGAGCTTTCTCCGGTGTGCATGCTGCCATTCTAAGGGTAGAGATAGGTTCGTGAGGTGTTGTAGATCATGCAGGTACGGTCCGCCTCGCCGGAGCCTCGCCGTCGGTGTGTTTTGGCCGACCGGAGCTGGCAGCACACCGCCTGTGTCCTGTGTTGTGTCACTGACGAGCGGGTCATGACTGTCAGTGAGAGAAGAGAGAGAGAACAGTGAGGTTTTGGTATTTTCTAAATATTGAATAGTGCAACAACTTTGGAAATTCGTAGGAAAATAATTACAGTTCAAAAAGATTCTAAAAATTTGTGTGTAGCTTCTGTACATGTTCTAGTATGGTTGAAAAATATGAAACTTGAAATTTAAATAAATTTTTAATGTTCAAAAATTCAGTCAATTAATTGATAAATGCAATTTCCATAATTTTTGTAGGCCACTGTATAACTCCAAAAATTATGAAATTTGTTTTGCTACACTAATTTGTCATGAGGAAGCTTGCATAAAATTTTGAGCTTAATTGAACAAAGTTGATTTTATACCTAATTTAGGCTTAATTATTTAATTAATTATTCACTTAGTTAATGCTTATTCATTTAGGGTTTTTGACTTTGGAATTGATTGTTGACCTTGGGTCAGTAACTTATGATGATCCTTGATGGTAGAATTACAAGTTGGTTTTGTTGGCTTGCAACTGTACCGTGAAGGAAAGTTGTACTCAAGGTGTTATTACATTTCATGCACCATGAAAGCATCATGTTTACATTATCATCATGTTGAAGCATATGTTATTATTTCGTGTAGAATCCGAGAGTGAACCGATTCTAGTTGAGCAAGTTGTGGAAGAATCCCCGGTTGTCTCGGGATTTGATATTTGTGGTACTGATCCGGAACTCGAGATCGTCAATGAAGGCAAGCCTCGGTTTATGCATTAAACCATTACCTTGTTTACTTTGAAAAGTTATCACCTATGTTACTTATTGCGTTAAGTTGATTAATTCAAATGTTACCTACTTGATGCATTGCCTACCTTGTTAATTGATTACCATCCTTGAAGATGATTTCATTTACAAAGGCGTAGAATTGCTTAGTATGCTTTATGGTAGGCTTTCAAAGTAAAAGTTTCGATACAATCAAAGATGGCATACTGGCCAAAGAAAGAAAGAAGATAGAATGAACTAGAGACTAGTTGGGTGACTTATCTTGAATGTTGGGTAATGTTGCCGACTATGTCGCTTAAAGGTCACTCATTGTGGATCTTCTAAACGAGACACTTTGTAGTACTGGTCACATACTCCGGTAAACCTACTTCGGCTAATCTGATACTAAGACGAATGCCCACGCACCGGGAGTGGAGAGATGGCAGGAGTAGCGTGTACCCTCGTGGCTGGAATGTGGCCGGATTTGAGGTGTGCTGTGCTCTCGGGTGGCGTGGAGACGGCTTAGTATAGGAGGATCCGGTAGCGAGGTTGATATATGCAAGATTAAGTTCTACATATGTCGTGTGATAAGGAATCCCCAGCTAGGACTTGAATCAATTCGAATTACCGGTGCTCCACGGATATGGAGACTCGATTCATTACAGAAGCAATGCAGGACTGGTGAATTATTAAAACATGAGAAAAAGAATGGAATGAGAAGGATTGGAACATGGGATATGAACACTTAGTTTGAGATAATGAACTAAGAAAACTTAGGGGTAAAACTTGAAATTAGGATCAAGAATAGTAAGCTTTTGGCAAAGAACTTTTGAATCTTGCTACATCCTT